CTGGGACCTGGGACCTGGGACCTGGGACCTGGGACCTGGGACCTGGGACCTGGGACCTGGGACCTGGGACCTGGGACCTGGGACCTGGGACCTGGGACCTGGGACCTGGGACCTGGGACCTGGGACCTGGGACCTGGGACCTGGGACTGGGTGGGGCGGGGCGGGGGGGCGGGACCTTGACTAATTACGTCCACTCTGAGCCTCAGCTTCCTCATCTGTGGGTATAGGAATACTAAAAATACTGACAATACACTAATCCTGATAATGGTAAGTCCAATACGTGTTCTAAACGAATAAGGTGATACCAGTACATTAACACACCTAACACGTTCGTTCCTTTCTCCAGGAATACTAAAAATACTGACAATACACTAATCCTGATAGTGATACGTCCGATACATTAACACACCTAACACGTTCGTTCCTTTCTCCGTCAAACATTTATTGAATATCGATTATGAACCAGGAGTTAATGAAAAAACAACAACAACAACACACAGATGTGAGCCAACTATTACTGTGGGCTTACCTTCCTAGCGGAGGGAGACAGACAATCAAGAGAAAACATCACTACACCAGAGACAGCTCAGACAGTGATAAAGACTCTGAAGGAACAAAACAGAGTGATGGAGATACGGACAGTGTGAGGGGAACCTACTTTGAACAGGGTGATCAGGCCAGGCCTCTCCAAGGAGGTGACATGTGAGCTGAGGCCCGAAGACAGGAGCCATTTGAATGCTGGGCGGACAGCAAGCGCAGAGGCTCTTGAGAACAAGCTCAGGTTGTTTGGGGAGCAGACAGAAGGGCCAGTGTGTCTGGGATATAGGGAGCTGGAGGGAGGGTAGGAAGGGAATCAAAGAGGGCCCTTGAAGACTAGGGGAGGAGCTTGGATTTTCATTCTAAGTGCAATGAGAAGTCATGGGAAGGTTTTAAAGGGAGTGCAGTACCAGCGATTTAATGTTAACTATTATTCTTGGATTATTTCTTGGATTATTGCATTTGGGTGGGTGGGATGGTTTCTATGTAGCTGGGTCTCTTAGAAGAGTTGGGTGGTGTTGAATAGTGAGGGACAGGGGTTCTGATAAGAAACTGAGAGCTGGAAAATGGAAATTTAGGGCCCCTGCATCGGAAGGAAACTGGGTGATAGCATGAATGGGTATCTGATGGGGCCAGAGCTGGGGGAGGGAGCGAGACTGGTCATGTGGGAGCGAGATTGGTCATGTGGGCTCCCTGAGGGCAGTTCAGTGGTTGGGTGGGTACTTGGGGAGACTTGGAAGCTGGGGTACCAGTACAGCACAGACTCTAGAAACACACCGGCTGGCTTCACATCCAAGATGCTTTACTCACTAGCTGTGATTTTGGGCAAGCTACTAATAACCTTTCTATGCCTCAGTTTTTCTATCTGTCAAATGGGGATAATAGTGAGTGCACCATAGGCTAGTTTTTAGAGTAGCGCCTGGCACATCATAAGCACTGTTGTATGTGTTAGTTATACCAGGTATTGGGGCCCTGAGTGGATTCAGTACTGGGGGACCCTAGATCAAGGTCTTGAGAATCTGGGAAAGGGGCACATTATTGGGTCCCAAGACTAAAAAGTTGGAGTACAAAATGAGGGTCCCTCGGGTTAGGGAATAGGTAGGTAGTCTTAAATCTGCCTTTCAGAAGGAGAGAAACTGGGGGGTCTGAACTCAGAACCTCAAGCAAGTTAGAAAGTCTGGGTCACTAAGGGAAACATTGGGAGCTAGAGGGTCACATGCTTTTCAGGGAGTGCAGGCTAAGGGGGCCAAGGGGCTGGACCACAGGTCTGGGGAGGAGTCCAGGAACCAGGAGTTAGGGAGATGGAAATTGGAGCGGGGGGAGGTGGAGAACAGCGGGGTACGGCTCTGAATCAAGTTCCCTGCACGGTACTTGGTATCCAGGGGCTGTTCAGGGGGTCCCCCGTGTTAGGGCCCTGTGCAAGGGGAAGAGTCAGAGGATCTGCGAGCGGTGGAGGGATCTCCCCTTCCTGGGCCTCCAACGCTGCGAGCTGAGCTGAGTGCCCGCGAGCCGCTTCCTCCCACAGGAAACCGCAGGCTTCAGGCACACCCAGCTTGCAGGGCGCTTCGCCCACTGCCAGCCCGCTCTGGGGAGGCCCACGTGGGTAGCAGCAGCCCGCTGAGGGGGCGTGCCCTATGAGGGGCGTGGACGGAGAACGGGGGCTGGCGCGGCGCGCGAGAGGCCACGCCCACTTCCGTCCCAGTGGGCGGACTCTGGGCAGCAAAGGGTTTGTGGCGGCTTCTCTGGAGGCCCTGGGCCGCGCATGCGTAGTGAGCCTCTGCGAGGACCTGAGGTCGTGAGTAGCCCCGCCTCCCTGCTAATGAATCCTCAGAATAACGTGGTCTTAGCTTAAGACACGCTTCTCTCGGGCTGGTGCAGAGCCTTCCAGACGTTTCCCTCTCAGGCCTGCCATCGCAGGCTCTTTCAGCTCCTGCCTCCCACTCTCGGGGACACACCCCCCACCCCCCGCTTCTCAGACCCGTGTTCACAGGTTGGCCACTCCGACCACCCACAGGTCCAGCCAGAGCGCCAGCCGGTTAGCCCCGTCCCATCAGGTCTGGGGAACCGGAGTCCTTCCAGCGTCCTCTCACCAGGCTCCTCGCTGGTTCTTCCAGGCACGCCCCTAGCTGGCCCCTGACGCCCCGCCCTCCTCAGGTACCCTGCCCCACCCCTCACCTCCGCAAACCTCGCGGCTACGTCCCTCCACACCTCCCAGCCCCGCCCCTCAACACCCCCAGCCCCGCCCCTCAACACCTCCCAGCCCCGCCCCTCAACACCCCCAGCCCCGCCCCTCAACACCTCCCAGCCCCGCCCCTCAACACCCCCAGCCCCGCCCCTCAACACCTCCCAGCCCCGCCCCTCAACACCCCCAGCCCCGCCCCTCAACACCTCCCAGCCCCGCCCCTCAACACCCCCAGCCCCGCCCCTCAACACCTCCCAGCCCCGCCCCTCAACACCCCCAGCCCCGCCCCTCAACACCTCCCAGCCCCGCCCCTCAACACCCCCAGCCCCGCCCCTCAACACCTCCCAGCCCCGCCCCTCAACACCCCCAGCCCCGCCCCTCAACACCTCCCAGCCCCGCCCCTCAACACCCCCAGCCCCGCCCCTCAACACCTCCCAGCCCCGCCCCTCAACACCCCCAGCCCCGCCCCTCAACACCTCCCAGCCCCGCCCCTCAACACCCCCAGCCCCGCCCCTCAACACCTCCCAGCCCCGCCCCTCAACACCCCCAGCCCCGCCCCTCAACACCTCCCAGCCCCGCCCCTCAACACCCCCAGCCCCGCCCCTCAACACCTCCCAGCCCCGCCCCTCAACACCCCCAGCCCCGCCCCTCAACACCTCCCAGCCCCGCCCCTCAACACCCCCAGCCCCGCCCCTCAACACCTCCCAGCCCCGCCCCTCAACACCCCCAGCCCCGCCCCTCAACACCTCCCAGCCCCGCCCCTCAACACCCCCAGCCCCGCCCCTCAACACCTCCCAGCCCCGCCCCTCAACACCCCCAGCCCCGCCCCTCAACACCTCCCAGCCCCGCCCCTCAACACCCCCAGCCCCGCCCCTCAACACCTCCCAGCCCCGCCCCTCAACACCCCCAGCCCCGCCCCTCAACACCTCCCAGCCCCGCCCCTCAACACCCCCAGCCCCGCCCCTCAACACCTCCCAGCCCCGCCCCTCAACACCCCCAGCCCCGCCCCTCAACACCTCCCAGCCCCGCCCCTCAACACCCCCAGCCCCGCCCCTCAACACCTCCCAGCCCCGCCCCTCAACACCCCCAGCCCCGCCCCTCAACACCTCCCAGCCCCGCCCCTCAACACCCCCAGCCCCGCCCCTCAACACCTCCCAGCCCCGCCCCTCAACACCCCCAGCCCCGCCCCTCAACACCTCCCAGCCCCGCCCCTCAACACCCCCAGCCCCGCCCCTCAACACCTCCCAGCCCCGCCCCTCAACACCCCCAGCCCCGCCCCTCAACACCTCCCAGCCCCGCCCCTCAACACCCCCAGCCCCGCCCCTCAACACCTCCCAGCCCCGCCCCTCAACACCCCCAGCCCCGCCCCTCAACACCTCCCAGCCCCGCCCCTCAACACCCCCAGCCCCGCCCCTCAACACCTCCCAGCCCCGCCCCTCAACACCCCCAGCCCCGCCCCTCAACACCTCCCAGCCCCGCCCCTCAACACCCCCAGCCCCGCCCCTCAACACCTCCCAGCCCCGCCCCTCAACACCCCCAGCCCCGCCCCTCAACACCTCCCAGCCCCGCCCCTCAACACCCCCAGCCCCGCCCCTCAACACCTCCCAGCCCCGCCCCTCAACACCCCCAGCCCCGCCCCTCAACACCTCCCAGCCCCGCCCCTCAACACCCCCAGCCCCGCCCCTCAACACCTCCCAGCCCCGCCCCTCAACACCCCCAGCCCCGCCCCTCAACACCTCCCAGCCCCGCCCCTCAACACCCCCAGCCCCGCCCCTCAACACCTCCCAGCCCCGCCCCTCAACACCCCCAGCCCCGCCCCTCAACACCTCCCAGCCCCGCCCCTCAACACCCCCAGCCCCGCCCCTCAACACCTCCCAGCCCCGCCCCTCAACACCCCCAGCCCCGCCCCTCAACACCTCCCAGCCCCGCCCCTCAACACCCCCAGCCCCGCCCCTCAACACCTCCCAGCCCCGCCCCTCAACACCCCCAGCCCCGCCCCTCAACACCTCCCAGCCCCGCCCCTCAACACCCCCAGCCCCGCCCCTCAACACCTCCCAGCCCCGCCCCTCAACACCCCCAGCCCCGCCCCTCAACACCTCCCAGCCCCGCCCCTCAACACCCCCAGCCCCGCCCCTCAACACCTCCCAGCCCCGCCCCTCAACACCCCCAGCCCCGCCCCTCAACACCTCCCAGCACCGCCCCTCAACGCCTGCCGGCGCCGCCCCTCGCCGGGCTCCTGTTCAAAGCCCCGAAGATCCCAGCTCGTCTTCTCCCGCCTCCTCGGCTACGCCTTCCAGCTTCCCCTCCCACGACCTCCCCTCTGATCCTGGTCCCGCCCCGGCCGCTGTCCTCAGGCCCCATTGGCCCCTTATCTCCCCAGTAACCGGACCACAACAGTGAGCTCGGATGGACAGGTTAGGCGTTCCAGCAGGTAGGGACTGGGCCTCGCTCTGCACAGGGTTCCCTTTCCTCTGTGATTCCTCCCCCAGACAGCGCGCCTCGGAGGTGTGAGAGCCTCGGGGACCGCCCGACTGACTGGCTCAGCGGTTGAGCCTAGACCTATGAACCAGGAGATCACGGTTCGATTCCCTGTCAGGGCACATGCCCGGTTGCGGGTCCGATATCCAGTGTGGGGTGTGCAGGAGGCAGCGGATCAATGATCCTCTCTCATCATCGATGTTTCTATCTCTCTCTCCCTCTCCTCTCTGAAATCAATACAAATATATATATTTTAAAAAAAGAAAGCCTAGGGGACCTACCCCCGCCAGAGGCCAGAGTCAGAGCCACGATGCAAGACAGAATGCAAGAGGCGGGCGTTGAGAGGAGTGTGGGGAGGGGCCTGAGAGGTGCCCCCTCCAGTCCCCTGGAGGAATTGCGGGTCAGAGAGAGGCCAGAGCTGGCCCTGGGGTGGCCTTCTCATTCCTAGTCCCCGGCTCATTGCCCACCTCCTCCTCACCCTCTGCCTGAAGGGGTGGGTCCCGTGTCGCCTCTACAGGACGCTCGCAATCGTTGGCTAAGCTGACCACAATGAGCACCCGCTCGGAGGAAGGAAGCGAGGCCTTCCAGGAAACACTAGGTAGTCCTGACGCCCCTTCTTCCCCTCATTCTGGTCCTTGGCTCCCCCAGGGTTCAGGTCCTGAGCTGCGGGGCTCCGGGGACAGGGAGGCCTTCCGGGAGCGCCCTCTAGCGGGGGCAGCAGCTGTGTGCGAATGGAGGTGGCGCTGGGCATAGGTATGGGCAAGGCCTGGAGAGTGGGGTGGGCCCGGCGGACTTCCTGCAGGAGGAGACGTGTGAGTGGGGGCCCAGAGTTCCCCCGAATTACCAAGGGGGCGGGGGAAGGCAGGGGAGAGGTTCAGCAGAGAGAACAGCCTGCGGCTCGAGCAGGGGTTTCTCAACCTCTGCACTGCTGACGCTTGGGCTCAGGCCGTCAGTCCTTTGTTGTGGGGCGGCCTCTACCCACTTGCATGCCAGTAGCACCCTCTGCACCTCCCCCACTCCCACCCCCACATCGCGGCAATGGAAAATGTCTCCAGACATTACCAAATGTCCACGGGGGATAGAATCGCTCCAGGTTGCCCTGACCGGTTTGGCTCAGCGGATAGAGCGTTGGCCTGCAGACTGAAGGGTCCCAGGTTCGATTCCCGTCAAGGGCATGTACCTTGGTTGCGGGCACATCCCCAATAGAGGGTGTGCAGGAGGCAGCTGATTGATGTTTCTCTCTCATCGATGTTTCTATCTCCCTTCCTCTCTGTAAAAAATCAATAAAATATATTGGGGGGAAAAAAACAAAGAATCGCTCCAGGTTGAGAACCACTGGGCCGTGGTAGGCGGCGAGCTGGTGGAGGAGACCCAGAGAGGAGGGTAGGGTCAGGCCATGTGGGGCCTTGAACACCAGGCTGAGGGCGCTGGAGCAAGGAAGAGGCAGGGTCCACTCTGGTTGTAGAAAGCCCCTCGGGGACTGTGAGGGGAGTCGGGGAGGCGGGGGAGGAGTCTGGGGTGATGGTCCAGGCAGGAGGGGATGAGGCCTGGGCCTAGGACAGTGGTCGGCAAACTCATTAGATTGAAACACGAAGTTTCAATCGCACTGTATGTGCGCGCCCGAATGTGGTATTTTGTGGAAGAGCCACACTCAAGGGCCCAAAGAGCCGCATGTGGCTCGAGAGCCGCAGTTTGCCGACCACGGGCCTAGGTGATGGACTGAGGGTGAGGAGGTGGGAGAATGGGACTGCGGATGGCTGGGCAGTGGAGGCTGAAGGCGAGGGGGGAGCCAGAATGCAGCCCTGGTCACCTTGCTCAGCTCCCCCCAGTTCCAGTCTTGTGTGGTGGGTCCCTGAGGACTCCCAGGCCTCCCAGGAGCGCCCTCTCGTGGGTAAAAAAGATGGATGCCCAAGCCGGCGAAGGGGTGGGTTTAGTGCAGCGGTTCTCAACCTGTGGGTCACGACCCCTTTGGCTGTCGAAGACCCTTTCACAGGGGTCGCCTAAGACCACCCTGCATATCAGATATTTACATGACGATTCATCACAGTAGCAACATTACAGTTAGGAAGTAGCAACGGAGATAATTGTATGGTTGGGTCACAACGTGAGGAACTGTATTTAAAGGGCCAGAAGGTTGAGAACCACTGGTCTAGTGGATCAAGTCTCCAGGTCAGCTTGGGGTACAGGGGAGTGAAGGGATGAGAAAGCTTGAGGCAGTCCCCGAGGGGCGCTGGAGGCTGGGTCTTCCGTTCAGTTGCAGTTTGTGAGATCCCAAGGGATCCAGGATCCCCAGGTCCCGGGGAGGAGGGGGCCCGGGTCTGGATTCCTACTGAGTGGCTTGCCTGGCCCCTCACTCAGTGGATTGGGAGCTGAGCCGACTGCAGCGACAGTACAAAGTGATGGAGGTTGAAAGGCGGGCCTACAGCAAGGAGGTCCACCAGCGCATCAATAAGCAACTGTGAGCCAAGTGCCTGAGTGTGTGTGAGTGTGAGTGAGTGTGTGTATGTGTGTGTGTGTGGGGGGGGGGGGTGGTGGGGGGGGAAAGGCTATTAAAGAGGCTGGGGGCCGGAATCTTGGGTCCGACAACGAGGAGGCAGGCCCAGTGTGTGTGGCCTTTATTGATGCTGAGCTCTGCTCCTCGCCGGCCGCCCCCCCACCCCCCTCCCTGGGCAGTGAGGAAATCCAGCGCCTGCAAGACGTGCAGAACAAGCTTCAGGTGAAGATCGGCATTGCCCAGAGCCAGGTCAAGCGCCTGCGGGACAACGAGAGGATGGAGAACATGAGCCACCTGCTGAAGTGCCGGGCCCAGGTGGAGGCCGAGGTCAAGGAGCTGCAGGAGCAGACCCGAGCCCTGGACAGGCAGGTGGGTTCTGAGACCAGGCTCTGTGGGTCCCACTTAGGGGCAGATGCTCTCACCGCTCGCTCGGAGCCTTAGCTTCCTCCTCTGAGAACCTGGGCTATTGAAAGCATGCGCCTGGGAGAGTGGTGCTGGGGCTCCAGGGGGCATAAGGGTGTTGAGTGATGAGCACAGTCCCAGATGCTGGGGGGTGGGAGGGGGGAGCTGGGGCAGCGAAGGGGAAAGGCCCGGCTTCCGGAGTTGGCGAAACCTGCGTTGGAATCCCAGTCCTGCCTCAGCAGAGCTGTGTGAGCACAGGCCAGTATTCACCTCTCTGGACCCTAGTTCCTTCCTTGTCTAATCCTACCTGTCTCAAGGTCTTGCTAGTTGACCTTGGAAACAATGTGACTTTTCGATGCCAGTGTTCTATGTGGGATTCATGGTCATTTCCCCCCCCTACTCTTCATGAAAAAAGTCACTTGCGCCCTGGATGGTATGCTCAGTGGTTAGAACATCGGCCCGCGTACCAAAGGGTCTTGGGTTTGATTCCCGGTCAAGGGCACAGACCCGGGGTATAGGTTGGATCCCTGGCTCCAATCGGGATGAGTGTGGGAGGCAACCAATTGATGTGTCTCTCTCACATCAATGTTTCTCTCACTCTCCTCTCTGCCTCCCTCCCTTCTACTCTCTCTAAAAAGCAATGGGGAAAATATCCTGGGGTGAGGGTTGACAACAACAACAACAACAGAAGTTATTAGGCTAGACCAGTGGTCGGCAAACCGCGGCTCGAGAGCCACATGCGGCTCTTTGGGCCCTTGAGTGTGGCTCTTCCACAAAATACCACGTGCGGCGCGCACGTACAGGGAACATTGTGGAGTGAAAGAAGATGTAGTGTCAAGGATTGAGAAAGGTATGTTGAGATGGTTTGGACATATAGAGAGGATGAACGAAAGAAGATAGACGAAACAAGTATACAAGACGAGTGTGGATGGGAGAGTTGGAAGGGGTCGACCTCAGCAAACGTACCTCAATCAGA